CATTGTGTCCTTATGTAAAGCATATGATATGTATACATGTATACATATGATGTAACAATGTATACTTACATACATACATACATACATACATACATACATACATACATACATACATACTTACATACATACATACATATACGCATACATATACGCATATACTTATACTTAATCCTCTACAGTATATCGTACAGGGATCGAATGTGGAAGTCTGAAGAATTCCAAATATTCGGTTTCCTCCATAACACAGCCCGTAACAGTCCTGGGAGCAAACAAAATGCCATGCGTTGTCCCGCTAAGGGATGATCCAGCTCTAGTGACTCCTCCAGTGCATGCCACCAGCACCACTGCGGTCTCTGTAGGTTCTTTGAATATCGTGTAAGATACGACGAAATCGGCCGGGGGAAGGCCAAAGGGAGTCTTGACATCCCCATCGGAAGATATCGTCTGTTGTAGGCCGTAACATTCTGAAGCCCGAGTCCTTGAATATGGCTCACGCCAACAAAACCCAAGCAGCCGGAACCCCCAACGTAGCAAGCTTTGGGCCTTGCCTCCACGTTGATGAGTTAATTTCTATCCATGTGCACATTCATGCACAGACATGTGTACCCACTTTGTCTACGAGTCTGTTACATCCCAAGTGTTGCATTCCAAGGTGGCGCCACTGCAGCCGCACTGCTGCGCCTCCTTTGCAGCTTCAGTGACGCCCGCGCCCGGCGGTACCAGCCCTTCGAGGACCCTGAACCGTGACCGAGGGTTCCTTGAAAGAGGCCAGAGGTAGCTGGCTACTGCCCGAAACATTCCCGGCACCCTCCGAGCTTGAGGCCTAGAGGCTCCCATCGAAAGCCGGAAGTTCATGCACTAAACAGCTCATGTGCATGTATATATGCATGTGCATGGAGTCCTGACACGAGGGATGACGATGGACAGTGGGCAATAGCATTCACGCATTTTCTATTTATCTCTGTACTAGTCACGAGACGCAGAAGTAGCAGTAGCAATGCCTCGCACTTGTGCTACTGCTACTACTACTACTACTACTACTACTACTACGACGATCACTACGACTACTACGACTACTACGACTACTACTACCACTTCTACCACTACTAGCACTCGTGCTGATACTGGCAGCAGCATTACAGATGCAGGCCTTCCAGTCGGCGGTCCGCTGTTGCCGCTGTGCCGGGAGCTCGAAACGGTCCTTGCACTCCTGAAATCTTGATGCCCTCGTCACAACTCCATAGGACCCTTCCGGGCACAGCGAGGGATGGGAGGTCGGCCAACAGCCTGCATGCACGTGCTTTCGACTTCGGACTTTCCGCTTGCACTTTTGACACCTGCTTGGTTGCCTGTACTGTAGAAGGCCCTCACTTCCATTGTAACATCTAGTTACAGGCACGCTCTAAAGTACTTGTTGGAAACTCTTCGCAAATAAGGGAAGTGTTCTTCCGACAAGGCATCGACAGCTGTATTATGTGAGGCGCTACTAGCTGACCCGTAGGAAGCACTTGCTTGCCTTCAAAAGTTTTGGAGGTGACACAGGGGTGTTTATAATCATCCTGCGAATATTTTGACATAAACAAAAAGTCAGAATAACCCCGACAAGCCCTATAGAGTGAAACCTGGCTCTGAGATTCTCATGAACTTAGAGAATTAAGTTGATGACAAGGTAACCTCGTCGGCAACTGAAGGTTTGCAAGGGGACAATGAGCAGCTGCCTACAGCATCCTCATACCACCTTCCCCGCCTGGCTCAGGTTTGCTCTTTCCTTAACTCAAACATCTCCGTCGACGTGGCCTGTCGGGGGCATGACCTGCAAGGGCCCCGGTTTCGAGCTGCACGCAAAGCCTGTCGGTACCGGGCACCTTGAAAGGCCAAACCCTAAACGAACCAAGCCGCAATGCAGAGGTTCGAATCACTAGTGTCGCAGATGTCACCTTTACTGTCAGGACAATGCAGCCTAGTTTTCTTTGCATCGACGAATCTAATCGCTTGAACAAATGGAGCAAGACGAAGCCCCAGACGGATCTAAAGCCCCAAAAATAATACTAATAGTAACAATCATAATCATAATCATAACAATAAAAAGAATAGCCCATGTCTGAAACTCACCATGTGCCCTAAGCCCACAGAACTCCAAAGTTCTCAACCCCGAGCCCAAGGGAAGTCCCTTCCCTCCAGGAACGAGGCGGTCAGCTTGACAGGGACAGCCCGGCTTGGGGACCAGGCCGTCTCTTTGTCATAGTTGGGTAACATTTGGGGGTTTCTGAAAACAAGGGTACCCTATTTTGGGGTCCTTATAATAAGGATCCTACTATTTACGGTACAATATTAGGGTCCCCTATTTTCTGAAACTCCCATTTTACATTTTTAAGGGTACTTAAACCCATTAAGGAATATACATTTAAATTTTTAATACTACCCCAACCATGAACAAGGTCTTGCCGCACAAGGGGTTGCTCGGAGACTCCAAGATCCCTTAATTAAGGAATATAGCTTAGATTATGGTAGGATCCTTAATATGATTCAAGGTATACTCCTTAATTAAGGGATATTGGAGTCTCTGGGTGCCTCCGACTTTCAACTGAAGCCCCGAAGCATCGGGGTTTGTACCCCAGAGACCCGAGACTACTGTGAAAGGTGGAGACTCTACACTGCTGTCATCAGCGGCTTTCAGAATTTTCCCAAAGACCCCCGCGTTTGGGTTTGTGCCAGGGCCTCGAGACCTTCCACTCCGGTGTGTCCTCCTCGGGTCGCAGGGCGCGAGGTGCCTTCTTGGCTATTGCTGTGGTTCACTGAGGGTCTAAGGGGTTCAGAGTAGGGCTTTAGGGTTTCAGGGTTTTGACAGCTTTGGGGCTTCCGGAGCAAAGAGTCGAAAATTTGAAGAATTTAGGACCCCAGGGTTCAAGGGTTGACCACGTGATCGAGAACTTTCCTTCTCTTCAATGCTGTGAGGAGGCGGCTTGCTCATCACAGGTCTACATTAGGAATGTCTTGATCCAGACTGATGTTATCTGGAGTCGGCTGGTTCTGATCACTTTCCTTGTCGTGTCGGAGAAGCATCGAAAAGTCTGGTTCGCGGAGACTCAGTGGTCTTGGATTTGAGACCGGCTGGTTTGGTGGCACATGGAGGGTTCTATGTCTATCTAGAAGTACCTAGGAGTAGGCTTATATGCATACTGCAAGTGTAGCTTCGCCAATTAGAACCCTAGATACGAAGGGCACTGATCCTGTGAGTGTCCAGTGCAGCTCGTCCAAAAGGGCAGATCCTCTGCTTAAAGGATCATGGGACTTAGTAACTAGGGTTATAATTAAGGTAACTATACTTATATTAACTTATAACCCCAATTAACGGACTTATAACCTTACTTACTAAGTCCCATGATCCTCCAAGTGCCCCCAGCAAAGCCCAAGCCGCAGGAGCGGCTGAGTCTGGGCCGGGGCCCCAGATCCTCTCGGAGACTTGGCCTTTTGCCGGCTGCATCTAGTGCATAGTATACTCTCCGTACATATGTATATGTGTAGATGTATATATAAAGAAGTTTGTGTGTATATGTGTATGTGTATGTGTGTATACATATATATATATATATATATAGGCAGACACATATAAATATGTATATATGTTCAGGTATCTGCCTGCTGATTTGTCTTCGTATTTACACTTGTATTTGTATTGTTTATTTAGTTATGCTCAATAACTTTTTTGATTATTGACTGAATTCCTCATCTCTTCACATATCTCTCTCTCTCGCTGTTCAAAAGTTATGTCGAAGGAAAGCTTGCAGGCTCTGCCCTGATGCCGGACAAACAGTCTACCTTGGACGTTTCCTTTGCGGGCCTGTGAAGAAGCATCGTTCTTCTGGCAGGCAAGGAGCAGCCAGCTCCCGACGACCACAGAGCTCTGGTCCTCGCAAGATCAGGCTCTCATGACTTAGCTCCAGACCTGAAACTCCTGAGCACGACTCTCCAACATAGCCGAAGCTTCTGCGAAAAAGAGGAGACTGCCACCGGAGCCCTTGCTCGTAGCCTGAATCATGGTGTCTAGAGCTTAATGAAGGCCCCATCTAAAGCTTTATTAACCCAGTTATTATCCTAAAACGGTCACCACAAAGCCTCGTCCTGTCTTCGACAAAGGCCAAGCCTGGCGGAAATCGGCAGCCGGTCGAAGCTGGAAGCCGTCAAAGGCCTGAGCTACGGTTTCTCTCAAGACGAGCGAGCTGCCTGCGTTATACGGTTTTGGCATTCGGGCTCCCATTGCGTTGAGTTCGTGGTTTCAGAGAGTCGGCAGCGGGCATATGCGACAACTCAGGCTGGGTAGAGGGATGCTTTCCAAGCGCCTGCGCCTGTGGCAAAGTCCCACAGCCCGACGCCCGCATCCTGGTGTAGGTTCCGTTGACAAGCGAGTCTCCACGATGCACTATCAGCGCTGGCCCAAGTTTTGGTTGTTGTGAGGGCGACAGACTCAGGCACTGCTGCGGCTTTTGTGCAAGGGCGCAAGTCTCATGGGGCGTGGCATCCTTTGTCTGACGCTCAGGAGACGAGCTGCTGGCACAGAGACTCGGGTGGCCTTGGCTTCAATTCAGGAAAGGAAAAATCCGAGGACTCTTCTTGAACCCAAAGCGCTCTGAGCCCAAGTCCTCTGAGGGATTCTGTTCCTTCCTGGGCATTTAGGCTTCTGGTGGAGGGCCCAGGAGTCCAGAGTCCGGTTCTGGCTGCATTCAGCATGGGCTTGCTGCTCTTGATGCCCGCCGTTTTTGCATCGTGAGTCCCCTTTGGATTCGAACAGCTGCTTGAGATGAAATGGCAACTTCATTTATCAGGCTTTCGTGTTCGCACGACAGAAAGCACTGCACACAGTCATGTTTTCGACACATGTGGAGTTGGATTTCCAATGTGCTGGCTTTCTGTTTGTGTTTTTTTGTCGGGAAATCTGTATAGAAGCAGACATGTGGTGTGCGTCATCCCTCGAAGCGCCTCACGCTCCTCCGGAATCCAAGGAGGCTCTTACGCCCCGGCGGCTCCGAGCAGATCACGCCGCTACCTCCGCAAAAGTCTCGTGCTTGTGGTTCTCGGTGCCTGGGGAGGGTAAGGAGCTAGCGCAGAACTATAGCTCCAGGTAGTAAGAGCCGTCAACACCGCCGTAGCGGTGGCAGCGGCAGCAGTGCAAAAACTCCCAAAGTTCCAAGCCCATCTGTCTCTGTCTAAATCCCTGGGTTTTTGAAGCCCCCCTAAAAGAAGAGAAGCCCAAGACGACACACGCAGAGCCGCCGCAGCACTTTCCCTTAGGTGCAACGAAGGGAGGCGGAACTCCAGAGGCGCATCGGCCCGCTGCCGCCGCTCGGCCAGTTTAATCGGGTTCATTTTTAAACACGGTGTCATAAACGGTTTACGGTGGGTTAAGGGTTTAGGCTTAGAAATGTTTTGTTCAAGGCTTGTTTGCAAGGCCGCTCCAAAGTTTTGTATCGGCTTTGGGCTCTGCGGGGGGGGCTTCCACCGGGTGTTGCAAGAAGTTTTAGCCAGAACTCGGCAGGGTCCCCCCCCTTTTTTGCATGGTGCTGTGTGTAGGTGCATCAATGCTGGTTTTGAAGCGGGTTATGAGAAAGTCTGTAGCGACTTCAGGACTTTGGGTTTGGGGCACGTCCTGTGGGTTTCTGCTTTGTCCGGCCTTCCGGGTTGCGGACAGTGACTCTGATCTTACTACTACTACTACTACTACTACTACTACTACTACTACTACTACTACTGTAGGAGTATAAGTCAGGAGCTTTTCTGGGCTCCCGCCCTAACCATTCAACTCTGAAAGCATCTGCGTCTGGGATTTCACAGATTCTTCAGCCCTCTTGCGCACTCGAACCCCCGCGCTGCACAGCTCCAATCACTCACCTCACAAAAAAGGGCATGGGTCTATCAATCTCTTTAGAGCTGTGGTCGATGATGACTCTTTCGCTTTGGCCAGGAAGTGCATTGCCACCATCCGTGGCCGGGCCGCACGCGACCGCGCGAGCAGCTTGGCCTCAGGGCGCCTCCGGGGCTGAAGTTGTGCTGAGCCTCTCAGAGATAAGCGGACTCTTAGAGGCTTAGATAGCCAATGGGAGAACTTTAAACTTTTTGGCTTTATATATTAGGTCTATCCTAAAAAGTTTGAACTTTTTTGGGCCTGGTTGTTGAAGAAGAGAGGAGGGGAGAAAGCTAAGCCCTGAGTCGTAGCAGGACCCATCACCCAAAGCTCTTTTCGGAGTCGTGCCCTTCAGGGTCTAAGGCTCCTTGGCTCTGGGGTCTAACCAGACCTCAACATCACCCGGTCGTTTCTCTGCATGGGCCGACGCCCATATCTAAGCTTCGAATAGCAGCGCATCGTCCCTTTTTTCCGACAGATCCTTCCTATCATGTGAGAACCGTACCTTACTTAAAGAGCTTTGGGTTCTTTCCGCCAACCCAGACCCCCAGAAGGATCTAAAAAATAGATCCCCTAAGGGGTTTCCTATAAAGTACCCTTTAGTAGCTAGGGTCCCTGATTAGGGGATCTAATTTTTAGATCCTTTTGGGGGTCTGGGAAAGCCCAGGTTCTCCGCCCAGGTCGCGGTCGAACTCGCCAAAACGGCAGCAGCCTGGCTCGGAAACGAAGGCTTCGTAGCTTGGGGCTAGGGGTTGAGGCATTGATCTTGAGCAGACCTTCAGAAAACATGCTGTCCATCTATCTACCTATCTATCTATCTGTCTGCTTATCTTTCTTCCATATAACAAAGGTATGTATATATATATATATACATACCTACATACATATATGTGTATGTGTATATATCTATATGCCATGGAATTTCGGCTCCAACGGCAACCGAACCCCATTACGGTCTCAGGTCCCCAGCGCGAAACCCTGGGCACCTTTTGAAGTGCCAGGTCTGGGGTTTAGGGTTTAGGGTTTAGGGTTTAGGGTTTAGTGGGCGGCACGACTTCATTCTGATCCCCTTTCAAACCTCTTTATCAAGAGCACTGAGGAACGAGGATCCCAGTGAGGGGGTATCTTGCAAACTGTGAAATTTGTGCATGAAGCACCAAGACGTGAGAGGGAACTCTGATTCCTGTATAGGGCACCTTCGACCTCAAGCCCGAAAGGTCGTTACTTTCTGGGTTTCGAGGCCTGAACTTAGAGCGTGTTATCATACAAACCCCTGCGCTTTACCAACTTCAACAGTCAGGCCAGGAATCTTTGCTTCGAGCGGGGCACGTCATCAAATGGGTCTCAGTTTCCAGCTTTCAGGGGGGCGCGGCGTCCGTGCATTACGCAGACTTTGATGGGGCTACAATTTCAGCCCTAAGCCCTACACCCTAAACCCTGGTTCATTTCCTGCTGACTCCGTCGGATTTCAGGCCTGAGTTGTTATGAAACCGCGGCTTGGAGCATCAAACAGCCCCTGGCATCGATGGCCCTAGACCCGAAAGCGCGCAAACCTTAGAAGCTCCGCAGAAAAGAAGCCGCCGCCACGCGTGAACTATCGTGAAAGATCTTGAGTCATCATCTTGCCATCTTGCGGATGGCGAGGACTCTTCCACTAGGTACGAGATTCGAGGAGAGATAGATTGTTGTCTCGACTGGATGTCGGCATCGCTTGGGCTTATGCTGTTTCGCATAACGTGGCGCAGAATCCTCTTGGAAGTCTGATCAGTACTGAGGAACACCGCCGCCTTCGCCCCGGGCACAGAGAGCACCAGGCAAAGCCGCGTCTCAGTGGTCGAAAGCTCATGCAGGGTTGTGAAGAAGACCCCGGGCCCAGACTTGGAGGATCATGGGATTTAGTAAGTAAGGTTATAAGTCCCTTAATTGGGGTTATAAGTAACATATAAGTCTAGTTTCCTTAGTTATACCCCTACTTACTACGTCCCATGATCCTTTGAGTACATGATCCCGGCTCTTGGCTCGCCCAGCCCCTCCCCCTCCCGCCCGCTGCATGCCCGGGTCCAGACATGCCGAAGCCCTGTGGCTGCGCGCACTTCTCCCCCATGGCGGCTCCAGAACCGTCAGTTGTTATATGAGAATCCTTGTGACAGCGGACACTTTCCGATCACGACTCCGACCCAAGAAAGGAACGTGATTATGATGATGATGGTGATAATGATGATGCCAAGTACTTCAAGAAGACCCACACTGCGAACCACACCACAGCCCCGGGGGGGGGAGAAGGGGAGCAACTCCAAGCAGACCCAAACTCCGAACCACACCACACATGAGGGAGAACCACACCACAAGGGGTGGGGGGTCGAGGGGTACCAAGCATTACGTAGCCGGGATCATACATAGCTCGCAGTGTTTTTGGGCACCTGTGAAGAAGGCGAGTACAACACCCCTGACCATAAATCAGGATAACAGTTCGGGTTGTGCGGACGGCCCAGACTGATTTGAAAGTGATTCCGAGCTGATCAGCTATGTCCGGCTTTCGTTGCGCATCCCCTTGCACATCGTGTTGTGACAGAGAGAGATGCTGCAATGAAACCAAGCGAGTGGCAACAAGCAGTTATTGGCCGGAGTGGAAATTCGAAGAGGGTTTCTTCGCCAGGAGCGACACGTTGACAGCACCAGTTCTTGCAGAGCCGACCCAGGCAGCGAAGTCTTCCGGTGCTTCAGAGCCTGACTAAGGACGATTTCGGGCCTGAATCAGGAAGTATTCTGGCTCTTCTTCTGGTTCGTCAGATTCTGTCTTTAACCTCTGGTGTTCTCCTTGAGTTCTGGCTCTCGTGTCGTGGCGGCTGCCCTGTGTTTGGCTATGGTAAAGCTCAGAGGCTTCCTGGGCTTAGCAACTTGTTAAAAGCAACCTCACATGCCATGATGGAAACTTGACTGCTGCGCAGGCTCCTATCTATGCCAAGCGACAGGAACACACAGCACATTCGATCCGGTAAGCTTGCGCCCCGTGGTTGGACCGTGCCCAACATCCACAACTAAAAAACCGTAGCCCCTGGCCCCCTGACCTTGAAATCCTTCGGGCTCAGAACTCCGACATCCACTCCGGCCAGGCCAATGCCAACGCCTCCGGGGCGGAGGCTTCGGCAGGCCAAGGCTCGGGTTGCCATGCAAGGTCCTCCCTGTCGGGACGAGGGTCTCAGTTTTGGTTTGCTTGTGGGCCATGGAAGGTTATCCTCCCTCCAGGAGTAGGGTCTCACTGGTTTTGGTTTGCTTGTGGGTCATTCAGTTTCAGGTTATAGGCTCTCGTTTGACCTGAGAATTGTCATTTCGAGACTCGACAGCAGGGGATGATGCCATCGTCCCGCGGCGGGCAAAGCCTCTCACGGTTAGCTTAAGCCAGGGCCTTGGCGGACATCATGCCCGTTTTGCATCTTCCGCGGGACAAGCTGTTGATCTAAACGCTGTTGTAAGAAAGACACATGTCCAACCATTACGTAGCTGCGCAGGATTTGCCATCATATCTGGTCCTCTATAACTGTTTGCAGTACTCTCTCTTGGCATGAGCGCGGACATCACATCACATCCCTGTTCCTTTCACTGTAGCTTTACAGGGATCCGGTTCGACACCTTAGGCACCATGCAGCAGCACAGAACAAGACAGTCCGCGCACCAGGCGAAAGTCAGTAACCGTGCGTCCGCCGTGGCTGCCCAGGTGCTGACACCTCTAACACCGTCGTGCGGTCAGCGTCGCTGCTTCCAGTGCCTTCCAGCGGAGGCAGCATTGTGGGACAAGTACAAGGTTGGAAAGTCTGATATAGTTTCAGATGATGAATCATGTGGCTAGCTGGACATGGCTTTGGATTCCTTGTGCTGGCCTGCGGCATGGCTGCTTTTTAGATTCGGCGTGTCTACTTTGAAGATCCTACTGGTGCAGCATGGTCTTGGGCCATATCAAGTCAAGGGTTGCGTAATCGAAGCACCAGGAACACGAACCACGGAAGAGTTCGCAGACGTGAAAATGGACTGGACACGACACGTGAGCAGGACTTCTCAGGTCTTGACAGGAAGTGCTGCATTCATTGGCAACGTCCTTGCCCCTGATCGAGATTTACGAAAAACGCTGTAGACTGTGGAATCGAGTGTATGTGCTTTGAACCAAGCCCTCATTCGTTCCCCGAAGGTCATTCTTTACTATAGATCCCGGTTATGGCAACATGTTTAGGACGCGAAGGAGCTTAGGCCGGCTGTGCACCAGGCCTCGTCCGGTCCCCTTCGGCGCCAGTGGTCTTGAGCCGCCCGCTCAAGCTTGGAAAGGCTTCTATTTCGTTCAGGAAGACGCCGCTTTCGTTGTTTGATTAGGCGAGGTTATCGAATGAGGCGGCTCGGTGGATTTTGGAGTTGCAGCTTCCATCTGCAAGAGGGTTCTTAGTACAAGATTTGTTGGCCCTGTCATTCCCAACCTGATGACACATCAACCGGATCGTGTGGAAAACTCTCAGGACGATGGATCCTTCCCCGCTGAAAAGCCTGACAGCTTTCTCAGCAGTCCAAGTTAATTTGCCAGTCTCCTGTCGAGTGTGATGATCCTGTCACACATGCTTGCCGCGAGCGCAAATTCAAGTACATTGGTGATGGGAAATGCTGCACAAAGAAGCGGGTTTCTTGTTAAGAAGGGTCGTCCCAGGATGAATGCAAAGGCCACCACGGCGAAGAAAAGAAGAATGGTTGGAAGAAGTGCTGCCTCGATTTGGACGCGAAGAAGGGGTGGTTTGGGCGGTAGCCTCCAGTGAGGAGGCTCCAGATCTGCCCCTGCGAGGTCTGACTTCACGGTCCCCCGAGTAGGGCCCATTTCGACTCCAACACTCCCAAGGACGGCAAACCTTGCCGACCGCAACAGACACCTGTGCGCGTGCGGTGCCGGAGCTGGAGCGAGTACTCCGCTACAACAGTAAAGAAACCAGGAAGCAGAAGCAGAGCGGCAATAATAGTGAGCTTGTTGAGCGCCTCGTCGAGGATTTGCCAGTTGAAGCAGCTGAAAGGCCTGAAATGCGAAACAGGCCAGCAACGTGGGCCTGGCTTAAACCACAATCCCGAGGAAACGCAACACTCACGTCGCATCTAGAATAGTAGAACACACTCATCGCCATCGTTGAAGCACCAGTGAGAGCTCTGCTGATGGCTGTCAATATCCTCAGCATTATCATCAGATTAGCCCTCATCATCTCAGCATCGTCACGAACATGACCCGAGGATCACCTTCTGTGCAGTCTGTGCCTGTGGTGGTCCGGACAATCTCTGTCGGATCAGGCACACAGAATCTGAGAGTTGTCCGGGTTGTCTCGAGGGACTCATGCATTTCACAGCTGTCGCTCTAGTTTGCCTGAGCAGACCGGAACTGAACTCCGACCCCAGCAAAGACCTCAGAGTCTCCTTAAAGACCCACGAGTGTTGAGGAAAGAGTCTTCTGTGGACAGCACTCACAGGTTCACCCGAGTCCTGCGAGGTCTTCGGTGGTTCGTTCTAAGCGACTGTTTGAGAAACCTGCGCAGTGACAACACTGTATGCTCAGACCGGCTTCTGGTAAAGCTTTACTTTGTGCCTCTCTGCAAGCAATCACTCGTCGACAGAAGAAGGGCGGGAAGATGACAATCGACCGAAGCAGCAGCACGAGAAATGGCAATCGCAATGATCGTAGGCCCCGCCC